CCTCACTGACAGCCTATCTGGCCTGAGTGTGGGGAAGAGAAAATGGCAACACGGTCTCCAGTTACAGCAGGGCCTAAAGCACCACAAACAGTAAGAATGGATAAAATAGGAAAGAAAGGTTATTGTTACTTCATTTTCCTCTCCCAGTTGGAGGACCATTTGTGTTATAAATGATCGCATCCAAATTTAGTCATAAACAAAATTTGCAATGTATTAAATAAATAAATAAAGATAAGCAAAAACAGTGCTGGATGGACCGGGAGCCCCTGCTCTACCAGTTTCCCTCCTCAGTGTTTATTGTCTCTCTTCTCATACATAGATATAACCTTTAATACATATTCATATGATTTCCGGGAAAAGGGTGGGTTTATGGAGATCTTCCTCGCGCATGATGTCTTTGTCTGTTGGGAACTTTTTTGCCCCTCTCTGGTGGTTGTGGGGTGACGTAAACACTGTTCCTTGGCCTGCCCTTTTGGTGACCCCGAACTTCACGCCCGTTTTACAAATAACTTCTTTTTGGGCCCGGATAACTGTAAACAACACTTAACAGAACCGGTTGGACCGGCCCTTTAGAACAGGGAGTCAGGATGGCTTTGCAAAAAGACCAAAGAGAGCTATTTACACATTATGTCACCCTGCCCCCCTCAAACCTGCAGTTATACAAAAAGAGTTCAGTCAAAAATACATACAAAAAGAGCAATATTTTAAACTTATTTTACACTGTGCAAAACCATATGCTGAGGTAGGTGAAAATGGACTAAAAAGTCCTAACATTATTTTATAATAACATGAATCATGTAAACTTATTTCACATTTGGAAGAGCAAATGTACTCTAAAGCTAATAGCCTGACTTGAAATTGTTCAGTGGATTCACCTTTCCAAAGATTACAGTGCACTTGTCTTTAGCGTGACTTTCTCCTGAGTATTGTTATGTTTGGTTTAAACTCCTGGATTTATCACACATTTTGAGAAACTAATGAATGCAATTTACTTTTGGAGGTTTGTGGGCAGAGCTCAAAGAATTTTGTTTTCTACCCAAGAAGGAGCCTCTGATCAATCATACCTAGCAAAAAAAAAAAAAAAAAAAAAAGCAAGCTGTTGTATAAAACAGTGAGTCACATCATCAGCTGTGGTCCAACTCTTTTTACTGATGAAGTGGTAAAAAAAGAAAGTAAATTTGTAACTTGCCAGTTACTAGTGGAAAGGCGTAAAGTCTGTAAAACTGTTGGGGTAATGTGCCCCCCTCATCCTCACTTTCTCAGCTTAGAGGCACGCGGCAAGAAGCAGGGCAAAATCATGAAGGCAGCAGGCAAACTACACAGCTCCTCGGAAGCAATTTCTATGTGACATATGTCCTGCAGGCAGTTATCATCACGTAGAGCAGCCTCAAGGCTAATGTCAAGGTGGTTTGGGAACCAGGCAGCCAGCAGCAGATCCCATCTGACCACTGGTTCCTTCCTCTTACAGAGCATATCCTAGTGCTGGTAGATATCAACCTACTTCTTTTTTAACATCTATTTCTCTTCCAATTCTTATCTAGTACAAATTGAGATATTGAAAAAACAACATTTTAATATTTACAAAATTAAGCTGAAGCTGAAAGACAAATAAAGCAAACTTAGAAAAACTCCATTCCTAATATTTTTTCTAGCATCACAGGAAAGATAATGCATATTAAAAACAAACCCTCTTTTTCCCCAAATTCTTTGCCTGCTGTGATTGCTTGTTCAAAAAAGTTCCTGGTTTTCTTCCATACAAATGTATTAAATTGTTATTACATGAACCACAATATTCATGTAAGCAACTTTCTTCTCAGGATTGGTCAATGCAGTACTTGCAAACAAAAACAGAGATAGGCTAATAGACATAAGACCAAATTTTAAAAACCCGACTTTCCTTATAGAGAGAAGGCTTGGCTATATTTGTCAGAAAGTACTCTTCTTTGAGGGAAGTAATGCTCATATTCCTGTGGTAGATAGGTATAGGAACAAAGAGATGATTTTGTTATTGTTGTTGGCTTGTGCCTTAATATGCATGATGACAGTAGGAGTATATGCAGTCAGATGAAGGAACATCCCACATGTAAATTCATTTTGTCATCTAGGTCTGAACAGGAAAAGAATATTCAGAATTCTTATTTCTTCTCAAAGTTAAAGGCATATAGTGTGTGTATAAAAACTTTTACTGTAGAGCTAGGTGCAACATAAATATTGACATTAGGATTGCTGATTAGACTCTCTTACACCTTTCTATGATTTGATTCATTGATTTGGTTTCTGATGCTAAATTTTATTTCATGGCATACTAATGGTAATGAATTTAGGTTCCATATTAAGATTCTATATTAAGGTAGAAATTCCTACAGTTCAATTTTTCTAAATTCAGCCATCTGATCTACTGCTTGAATCGTTTTTAGCAGTAAATGTACTGATTTCATATCTAAAATGGTTATTCATTTGTAGTAATCCATGAGGAGCATACATGACAGTGTGTGTGTTTGAAGATGAAGGGGATGGCCTTCCAGAACAAAAGCATGCAATGGTAGTATGTGAATGCAAAAATTTAAAGGAAATCATTCAACAGTCAGCATCAAGACTATGAAATAAATTGGCTGGTGTCCACCATCTTAATTATCACTGAGCAAGCCACATTTGAAATAAGCAACACATTGAGGAATGTGGTTGCTTATTCAACACAGGAATGATATACTGTCACATAGTCTGATGTAAACCTGAGATCTCTGTTGAAATATTTATTACTGATGGCACGGAATGTAATTGCTGATTTTCTACCTGAATGGTTCCATATTTTCTCTGAATCTTAACAGTTATTCATCCCTTTCCCACTGCCCATTTCTCAGAGTTTAAGGCAGATGTGTCACTGGTCCACAGACCAGTAATTGAACCTGTCACTTTCAATCAGCCGACTTCATTCCTCAGAAATGTATCCACTGCATCATTCACCTTCCCGATTATTTTTCTCTAGGTACCAAATGTCCAACTTAAACCTATGCTAACACATATTCACTGTTTACCTTTGTGGCAGGTTTACCCACCCCAATAAAGGCCAAAACTTCTTCATCACTGAAAGGTTAAAACTACAAGCTGCAGTTTGGGGTCAAGCCAAAGTTTGGGGTATCCACTTTAGATGGTGATGACCATCATGTACACACCTTGGTAGAAAGACAAGGCCCTTCAGCTGACAGACAAGGCCCTCAGCCAGCAAAACACCTCGGCTGAGAGAAGATCTAGACTGTTGACCACATATGAGCATGATTACATATGACTAGGGTATAGGGTACAAATGGAGACTCACAGAGAGCAAATGGAGCCAGTCTTCCTCCGAGCAGCAAGTCTGCTTTCAGGGACCCTCCCCTTAGTTTGAGACCCCACCTAAGAAAACTCTCCAGGGTTGAGAGCCCTCAGCTTTTAGGTGAGGGATTTGTCCATTTTGGATCATCATTCCTAAAGCTTAAGAATTTTTAAGTAAGTTGCACTGTAATTAACCCTTCTTACATCACTGAACCTGTGGTTTTGTAATGTTGTCAGAGTTCTAAGTGATTTTGATAAAAAATAAATCTTGCTAAATTTAACACCTCTCCAAATTCTAGTGTGTGTCTGTGGAACAATCCTGCAGATCTCTGGTCATAAAGCAAAGTATTCAGGAGCAACCTGGAGGCAATTATTACTTTGCATTCACTACAGAAATCTTGTTTAAAATAAGCTGTCCATTGCTAGTCTAATTTTAACAAATGAATCAATAAGGTTGAAGGAGTTTGAGTAAAACTAAGTAGAAGAAAATATAAATTAAATGGCTACACAAAATTCATATTCACTGAAATTCTTTGGAATCTTTCCAAAATAATCTGGATGACATCAGGGATTTTTATCCAGTGTATAGCTGTCCTGGTTTTGACCAGGATGGAGTTAACTTTCATTGGAGTATTTTTAATCCTTTCAGGGATTTAATTGGGCGGGCTCTCCCATCGGTCTCTCACTGGGGCTTGGGCTCGAACAGTTTGCACCGCACTCGCAGTCAGGCTTCGGCTGCCCATACCTCTTCAAAATTGCTGACTTTTCAGACAAGTTCTTTTCCTGCAGAATTGTAATGTATATTAAATGTATATTAAATACTTTTGCCTGGGTTGCAGTGTATTCTATTAACATCCTCATGAGCTGTGGAAATCAGGTGGGCAGTGTTTCCTTGTTCCCCCCACCCCCGACTATCTTTCTGTTAATGGCCCATCAGTGCCATGCAGCATGACTCATTATCCCATTGTGAGATGCTCCACCCAGAGGGAGAAAACCAGCATTTCATCCTGGACATAACCTGATATTCTGAATACCAGAGACGCTTTCTTTTCCACTGGATTTCCAGAGGACAGGAGCTACTTAGCCACCACTGGACTTTTCTGAGGAAGAGCAGATCTTTTTTTTCTACAGGATCACTGCTTCGGGGCTGCTACCACCACCCTGATTAACAGGGTGTCGGGTTGTATCCTGACTCTGTCAGTTTAACCCAGTGCTATCTGCCTTTATAATTTTATTTTTTTCCTTATTAAATTATTATTCTGACTTGGTGTCTTCCACTAGTTTGTTTTCAAACTAGCACAACTTTGTAACACAGCACTTTCCAAGAAGTTTGAAGGGGAAATTCTAATTGTAAGTGTTCAGCAGGTAATTTGTAACTGAAATGATCTGGCATGGAGGGCAAGAAGGCTGAACTACAAGGGACTAAGCTGGCTGGAAGCAGAAATGCCAGAGACAGAATGGTTCCTTGCAAGAGAGTGAAGTCTCCATTGCTGATGAGAAACACCTTCAGCATTGTGAGAAACTATGGACTAGGGTATTGTTTATTAAGATTTATGTTAAGCTCAATGTAAAGGTTAGGCAACAAAAGATATGGAATCGCTTATGCAAACAGCTACCAGACACCGCTTGTGTAAGATAAGATAAACGCAATCGTTTACACAAACTAAACCAGATACTACTTTTGCAAGATAACCGCCAGATGTCCAGGAACCGACAGAAACAGGACAAACAACCCCATATAAGGACATATGAGTGAGGGGTCAACTATGGGACAAAGGAGGAAGACTTCTTACTTCGGCCTCAACGACCACCAAGAGGCAGAAAACGACCCCCTAACAACAACTGAAGCATGCGCAGAGTACCGCCACTACTTCATGAACACGGAAGTAAAGATGTATAAAAAGGGACTGTTTGAACTGCTCAGCACGGCAGTTGGCGGAGCGCAGACTCCCCTGCTGTCCAGTGCTGTCTTTGCTCATATTCTACTTGCTATAATTAATAAAATTTTAATTGGATTATGATCCACTGTGGTCTCAATTTATAACAATTCCTAGTGCCGTGACTCGGATAAGGAACGGTGGGCTTCTGTCCTCCGGGGAGGCGCCCCGCGGCAATCCGCGGCCCCGCGACCGACAGCCTACCTCAACCTTACCGACGAACCTAAATGCTAGAATAATGAGCAAAGGAGAAACCGGTAAAATCCCATAAAATTCTGTGCACGGGAGTCCGGACGAAGACGCAGGACGCGTAAGTATATTGCGAATTTGTTCGCGGGTTTGCCGTTCGGGCGGGATTGGGTTTCCTGGAATATAAC